ATTCCTCAGTATCTCATATGGGGTTCCTCATTATAGGAATTAGTTCGATAAGCGATGCGGGACTTAACGGGGCCATTTTACAAATAATCTCTCATGGATTTATTGGTGCTGCACTTTTTTTCTTGGCGGGAACCAGTTATGATAGACTACGTCTTCTTTATCTTGAAGAAATGGGCGGAATGGCTATCCCAATGCCAAAAATATTCACCGTTTTCAGTATTTTATCAATGGCTTCTCTTGCATTGCCGGGCATGAGCGGTTTTATTGCAGAATTAATAGTTTTTTTTGGAATAATTACCAGTCAAAAATATCTTTTAATGACAAAAATACTAATAACTTTTATAACAGCAATTGGAATGATATTAACCCCTATTTATTTATTATCTATCTTACGGCAGATGTTTTATGGATACAAGCTTTTTAATATACCAAACTCTTATTTTTTTGATTCTGGACCGCGAGAATTATTTATTTCGATTTCTATCCTTATACCTGTAATAGGTATTGGTATTTATCCAGATTTCATTTTCTCATTTTCAGTGGAGAAGGTTGAAGCTATTCTATCCAATTTTTTATAGATAGTTTTTTCGTAACTAAATGAATAAAACCAAAAAACCAAAAAGGAGAAAGAAACCCTATGTAATGTAAAAAGGGATTTTTCTGTTGCATTAACTTTTTTTATGTTTTTGAATTAGAATTGAATAGGTTTGTTGTTTGTGAGAACCCGTTGAATCACTATATTTTTTGATTTTAAGGGTTCTCGACGATTTATGGGAAGTTTTCTTATAATATACTTTCGATATTTATATTTGTTAGGTTTTTTATTCCCCTTAATTCAACTAGCTGTAAATGAACCATAACTATGTAGTCCTATTCCTAATAGATTGATACCAAAATAACATACCCAAATTATAAGAAAGCCTATAGAGGCGACTATCGAAGAATTTACACCTTCCAATTTTTTATTTTTTCTAGTATGCAAATAAATTGCAAATATGGTCCAAGTAATAAAAGCCCAGGTTTCCTTTGGATCCCAATTCCAATATGACCCCCATGTCTCATTAGCCCAGACTGCTCCAGAAAGAATACCTATTGTTAAAAAGAGAAAACCTAGACTAATACTACGATAACTCCAACGATCCAATTGTTGAATCAATTGAGACCCGTAATAATTGCTAAAAGAATAAAAAGAAGTTTTTCGTAAAACATTTTGTCTTTCATTCCTATTCACGTATTTGATTCCAGCAAAAGAAAATGATTCACTTAAAAAAGAAAAATTATTGCTTTTTTTAAGAATTTGTATAACTTCTCGAAATATAATGACTAAAATAGCTACTGAGAATAATGATCCACATAAAAGAGCTGCATAGCCCAAGATCATCATACTTACATGCATCATTAACCAATGGGATTGAAGAGCAGGTACTAATATTGTGGATTGATGCATTTCAGTCAAAATACCCGAAGTTGCAAAGGCTTGGGTAAAAAGAACACTTGGCTCTATTATCGTACTTAAACTTAAACGGTTTTTATGCTTTTTTAAGCACGGAACCATGTGAATGAGGGAAAAACCCCATGAAAGAAAGATTAATGATTCATATAAATTACTAAATGGTAAATGGCCCGAAAAAAACCAACGGGTAACTAGCAATCCCGTTATAGAGAAAAATGTTATTATCGTTCCTTTTTTGAACAAATCATATAATCCTACGATTTCATTTACTAATAAGGTTATCAAATGAATTGAAATTCTAATTGATACGATCGAAAACGATAGATGGGTTAATATATGTTCTAAAGTTGAAAATATCATATAAAAATGGATATATAAAAATATATAAAAAGTCTGAATACTAGAAATAGAAAGAATATAAATAAGGAATTGAATTCAGTATAAATAAGGACTTACTCTTTTAGAAGATAAGATGCCATGCCGCTACTCGGACTCGAACCGAGATGCTATAGCACTGCTTCCTAAGAGCAGCGTGTCTACCAATTTCACCATAGCGGCTTACTCAAAATTATAATAACCTATTTTTAGTCAATCGTCGAGAATTAAATGCATCTCCATTTTTCAAAAAAAAAATAAAGAATTTTTGGATTAAAAATATGGTACTCCATTCAAAATAAATAATAATCTAATAATAGAATATAGAATAATATCCTAACGAATAGGAGATGGTATTCTAAATCCTATTATGAATATATACATTCAATATTTTATTCTTATTCTACATCAGTATTCGAGAAAATTCCGCGAATCGGTGTAATTTATATTATTACATTTTTTCCAACCAATATTTGTTTTTATTAGAAACAAAACTTTTTGAATTCCCTGTAAAAAGAGATTGGGCTAATGAAAAAGCTTTCAGTGCTGTCCAATATCCCTTCTTTTTCCAAAAAGTGTTTCGAATGATTCTTTTCGATATGGAAGTGCGCTTTTTTGGAACTGCCATCCAACTCGAACCTCCTCGTTTTCTATCTTTAAAGTAAAACTTTCTAGATTATAACACACTTTTATAAAAAAGGGAACTCGCTTTCAAAATGTTTCCTCAACATGGATATCTTTTTATTGTAATGGAAAATAATCAATTCTTTCAAAAATAAACTTACGTTTCTTAATAAAAATTCTTATTTTATTGTATAAATATCATATGAATTTTTTCTTATTCATAATAAACGAATGTTTTTTTTTTAGTGCACTATTTATTATTTGTCTAAAATAAAAATTCAAATTTTGATTTTAAATCTATTTTTTATTTACCGAGAATTTCGGTATTGGCCCTTTTTTACTTTAAACTAGAAGTATTGTGCAAAGATTGAACTGTTCCATTTTTATTTATTATTAACCGAACCCTTTACAAAAGAGATAAAAAAAATTTGCGAATAAGCAACAAAACTCATTAAAAATAAACATGTATTTTTTTTTTTCAATTTTTTTATGGACTATACATATCAATCCTCGTGGATCATCCCTTTCATTCCACTTCCAGTCCCTATGTTAATAGGGGCTGGACTTCTGCTGTTTCCTGTGGCAACAAAAAATTTTCGCCGTATGTGGGCCTTTACTAGTATTTTTTTGCTAACTATAGTTATGATTTACTCAGTCGACCTGTCTATTCATCAAATCAATAAAAGTTCTATATATCAATATGTATGGTCTTGGACTATAAATGCTAATCTTTCTTTAGAGTTTGGATACTTTATTGATTCACTTACTTCTATTATGTCAATATTAATAACTACTGTAGGTATTCTGGTTCTTATTTACAGTGATAATTATATGTCTCATGATCAAGGATATTTGAGATTTTTTGCTTATATGGGTTTTTTTAATACTGCAATGTTGGGATTGGTTACTAGTTCTAATTTGATACAAATTTATATCTTTTGGGAATTGGTTGGAGTGTGTTCTTATCTATTAATAGGTTTTTGGTTCACACGTCCTATTGCGGCAAATGCTTGTCAAAAGGCGTTTGTAACTAATCGTGTGGGGGATTTTGGTTTATTATTAGGAATTTTAGGTCTTTATTGGATAACGGGTAGTTTGGAATTTCAAGATTTGTTTCAAATATTCAAAAATTTGATTTCGAAAGGTGAGGTTCATATTTTTTTTGTTACTTTGTGTGCTCTCTTTTTATTTTGCGGTTCGGTTGCGAAATCTGCCCAATTCCCCCTTCATGTATGGTTACCGGATGCTATGGAAGGGCCTACTCCAATCTCAGCCCTTATACACGCCGCGACTATGGTCGCGGCAGGAATTTTTCTTGTAGCGCGGCTTCTTCCTCTTTTCATAGTTATCCCCTTTGTCATGAAAGTCGTAGCTTTCATAGGTATAACAACAGTACTCTTAGGAGCTACTTTAGCCCTTGCTCAAAAGGATATTAAGAAAAATTTGGCTTATTCAACAATATCTCAATTGGGTTATATGATGTTGGCTCTAGGTATGGGTTGTTATAGAGCTGCTTTATTTCATTTGATTACTCATGCTTATTCAAAAGCATTGTTGTTTTTAGGATCCGGATCCATTATTCATTCAATGGAAGCTATTGTTGGATATTCTCCAGATAAAAGTCAAAATATGGTTCTTATGGGGCGGTTTAACAAAACATACACCAATTACAAAAACTGCTTTTTTAATTGGTACACTTTCTCTTTGTGGTATTCCACCTTTTGCCTGTTTTTGGTCTAAGGATGAGATTCTTAATGATAGTTGGTTGTATTCACCATTTTTCGCAATAATAGCTTTTTCTGCAGCAGGATTAACTGCATTTTATATGTTTCGGATCTATTTACTTGTTTTTGATGGATATTTAAATGTTCATTTTCAAAATTTCAATGGAAAAAAAAAGAGTTCATTCTATTCAATATCTTTATGGGGTAAGGGTAAAGAAGATAAAAAAACAAAAATTCATTTATTATCTTTTTTAACAATGAATAATGATGAAAGGATTACTTTGTTTCGCAATAACAAATATTCACAGCAAATTCATCGAAATGTTAAAAGCATAAGACATCTTTTTATGGATATTTCCTATTTGAGTACTCAAAATACTGTTTGTTTCTATCCTCATGAATCGGACAATACTATGCTATTTTCTATGCTTATATTAGTACTATTTACTTTGTTCATTGGGACCGTAGGAATTTCTTTCAGTCAAGAAGGAATTAACAATTTAGATTTTCTATCTAAATTGTTAATTCCTTCTATAAATCTTTTACACCAAAATTCAAATGATTCTCTCGATTGGTATACAGAGTATATATAGCCTCCTTTTTATATAAGCCTGTTTATTCGACTTTACAAAATTTAAACTTATTGAATTTTTTTGAAAAAAATCTTCCTACAAAAATTGTCTCAAATAAAATAAAAAATTTAATATATGATTGGTCGTATAATATCGGTTATATAGATGTTTTTTATGTAAGATCTTTAATTATGGGTGTAAGAAAATTATCTAAACAAAATTCTTTTTTTGATAGACGTGTAATTGATGAAA